ATACTGATATTCTCTCATTGACACCAACTCAATATCTTTCGATTTAAACGACTAACTCATTATCTTTTTGAGTAATTCACTATCTATCTCGACTCGTCATTTTTTTATTAAACAGTGCATTTAGCATTTAAAGAGAGGGGTGATGGTTTTAAGTCCCAGTGTGGAAATTAACTCTGAGTTGCTGATATATTCAGCTGATGAATCAACAATAAAACTAAATGACAATCTTATCATTCTATTACTAGTGATTATCCATCTACTCTTAAACATTACTGTATATTTCTCCGGCTATATATATATATATTTACTTACTTGCGCCTGTTACTCCCAATGGAGCATAGGCCACCGACCAGCATTCTCCAACCCACTCTGTCCTGGACCTTCTTTTCTAGTTCCATCCAATTCTTGTTCGTTTTTCTCCTCTCTATCTCCATTTCTCGGCCTAATGTGTTCTTTGATCTTCCTCTTCTCCTTTGGCTCTGAGGATTCCATATGATGGCTTGACTTGTGACGCAGTTGGGTGCCTTCCTCAATGTGTGTTCTATTCACTCCCAACGCTTCTCCCTGATTTCTTCATCCACTGGAATCTGTTTTGTTCTCTCCCACAGTAGGTTGTTGCTGATGGTGTCCGGCCAACGGATCCGATGTATTTTGCGTAGACAACTGTTAATAAACACCTGTATTTTCTGGATGATGGATTTCGTAGTTCTCCAGGTTTCCGCCCCATACAGTAGATTTGTCTTGACATTTGCAGTTTAATCCATCATATGAATTCTGTATGATATTGACTATCTTCTGAGACGCGCCGTAGTGTTGAAGAAGCTTCCATAGTGTTGTTTTGTCCGCGCTATCAAATGCTTTTTATAGTCAATGAAGTTGATGCGGAGTGATGAATTTCATTCAATTCACTGTTCCACAACGATCCGTAGAGTTGCGATTCGGTCTGTACACGATCTATCCTTACGGAATCCTGCCTGTTTTTCTCGAAGTTGGGCGTCTACGCAGTCCTTCATCCTGTTTAACAATACTCTGTTGAAGACTTTTCCCGGTATAGAGAGAAGAGTGATGCTCCTATAGTTATCACACTTGCTGAGATCGCCTTTCTTTGGTATTTTGACCAGAAGTCCTTGCTTCCAGTCTGTTGATACTTGCTACTCATCCCAATGTGGAAGTAGTGTCTCAACAGAATTCGCACAACCGATTAGGACAACGGAGACGGTGAAGTCGACATCAACAGTGAAGACGACGAGCCCATCATCAACTACTACATCAGACGATTTCGGTAGGTCCATATTGTTTCGTCAGAAGTCACGTGTTGTTCGCATCTATTTCCATACATGGTCACATGAGATTTGAGTTTGTGCTGTGCTCAGTGTTCAGTTGATTGATAAACTGATTGATTGAACGATCGACTGACCGACTGCTTGAGTGAGTGCGTCGATTGAGGCACAGACCCACCTCGTGATTATATTAGATTTGGTGACAGTATCTGAACGGCGTAATGACAACTGACGACCATTGTGTTTTCATTTTGCGGTGTTCGACTAGATCGCAGTCACTCTTACAATTCAGTTCATTAATGTCATTCCGTGCGTTCTTGTGTGCACTTATCGTTTCGTCTATTTGTAAGCATTACTAACATCTTCCGCAGAATGATGAAAAGTGAATCAAACGGAAGTTAGTCGTGAAGACACCAACCAGTAACAATCAGTGACAACATCGATTCCTACTCACAACATCACCGCGAGCGGGCCTTCAAAATAACAGGAACTTGCAATGAAACTATAATTATCATTACCAATTACATGCTATGGTATTTAAGACTTTTCTCATTAACTTTTCCTTGTAGAGATGTTCGTGTTCGAGGTGAATATTGTGATCTATATTGGAGAACGGTCAGTGCCCATGAATTGGTCAACTGATCTGTCGAATGAGTCAAGTGTCATATACAGAAATTTGTCGATGTCGATTTGTGACCTGGTAGGTGTGCATTGGTTATGGTTATTGTGTTCTTAGTGTACTGGTATGCAATAATCAGAGAAGCAGTGTGTGGATTGTTCGAATGACACCAGTGTAGTGGACAAATGGTTCTGTGAAATGACAGGAGTGAAGATCTCCGAGAGAAAGATAGAGAGAGAGAGAGAGGGGCGTCGTTTGAATCAAATTGATGATTGTGTAATGTACAGACTGAGCTAGTAAGTAGGCGTGGAAGTGTGTGTGTGTGTGTGTGTGTGTGTGTGTGTGTGTGTGTGTGTGAGAACGAACGTTTGTGAGAAGGCAATGAGTTAGTGAGTAGGTAAGAAGTTATTAGTAGGTGGTGAGTAAGTAGGTGAGCAGGTAATGAGTTAGTGGTCATGTGAGTGTGAGATTGAAGCGAGTAGTGATGAATTGGTGTATTGAGTGGTGTTCACATTGGTAGTGTGAGCGTCGGTTAGTTGAATGAGTAAGCCAGTGATTGTAAGTGATTGTCCATTTGTGAAGTGGTGGTCATGCACTTGGTCATTATAATGATGATAGCGATGGTGAGCACTGGTCGACACCGGTCTAATTGAAAATTGTAGTTGTGGTGTTGATATATGAGCAAGCGAACGACGGATCGAGAGACTGACTAATCGACTGATTGTGTATTCTGTGTGATTTTGTTTTGCACGTTGCAGCTATTGAGCGGACTACGTCTGGGTAATGAAGAGTTCTCTCGAGGTGCTACTTGTGTCCGTGTTGTCTTCATTCGGATCATGATCTGGATTGACGGTGTTGGCCAAGCTCACACAGACGCGGGTGTCAATCGTGTCTCAATGGAAGCTGTTCGAGCAATTGCGAGTGTGCAGTTGCATTTGTCTCGTGGATCACAACCAACTGAGACTGATCTCACGGAGACTCTGGTTCGTGGATGCACACTCCTGAATATCAAGAGTGGACCAAGTTTGAGAAACATCACAGCATATCGTAAGTCGTCAATTGTTGTTGCCCATTTTGCCAATGATATGTTTTGATATGATATGATATGATATGATATGATATGATGTGATGTGATGTGAGATGAGATGAGATGAGATGAGATGAGATGATAGTTAGGCGAGACACTGAGTGTGGCGCCATTGAGATAGGAGAACAGTGACAGTATTGTTTATCAGCCGATTGTTCCCAATGTTGGATGTGCACACCCGTAGTGGAAGAATCCAGCAGAGAGATCAATACACCATGGAAAACGTATACGTGGAGCTAGTGACTGACTTACTGATGGATAGGGAGGTGTGAGTCTCTCCAGTTTTCTTTCACAGGTCACATGCATCGTGGTAATGTTGATGATGTCGATTGTTTGTTGTTTACAATGTACGGTGTAGCATTTCTGTGATGTGACCGTGTTGTGTAGCATTGATTTGTGCAGGTTTTGTAAATTGTGAAGAGTGAATCGGTGTGTTAAGGAGAGATGAGTATGTATGGGTGTTTGTTATTGCATGTCAGTTTATCGATTGAACGATAACCCAGATAAGATTCTTCGAATTCACACCACTTCAATGACATTTGCTACTGCCTGAATTGTGGTTGTCATTTTCGCAATGCGTGCTATGGTCACTGAGTGTCACTATATAAAGGTAGTTGTCTTATTTTAAGTTTTCAATTCTGTCCGGAATTTAGAGCTGCAATGAAGACTCAGTCTTCTCTATCTCAACTAAACGTGTAGACTATGCAATTCGAAGTGTTGTTGTGCATGAGTTGATGTTCTGTTGAGTCGGACAAACAACATCTTGTTAGTAGAATAATAATAATAATAATAATAATAATAATAATAATAATAATAATAATAATAATAATAATAATAATAATAATAATAATAATTAGATGGTCGAAATATCAACCAACGTAGTCCTGTATGGAAGCTGACAGGAAGATATTTCTGAACGATGAATACAACTACATGTGTTTTCCGTTTAACTCAACAGGTCCACGAACAAGCACTGTGACGTCGACTGACGGTCTCGGACAAACAGAAACAAGTGTGTCGACAGAATCGAGGCAGCCGATCAGGACCACGTCGATGGAGACGATGACTGCAAGATCGACTGTGCTGATGACCAGCCCGTCATCAACTACTACTGGAGTTGCTTTCGGTAGGTTCACATTATGTTGCATAACATCAAGTGCTGTGCATATCTTTTCCTACATACACTCACACGAGATGTGCTATTGTGCAGTGTCTGTTGGTTGCTTGATTGATTTGTTTATTTATTTAGTTGCTGACAAATCATACGGGTGTGCGCGTCATTGGTCCTATCGATAAGTCACTGCTCTTTGATTGGCCGTGTCGTCACGTTATACATTAGCAGGGCACACAGCACATAAGTTACAACAAATATTCTAATATCCGCCAATTCTACTTTGGATCTCTGGTGAATTAACATCATTCACATGCAATCCTGCCCATTAATAACATTTATTTTAATTAACATCAGTTTACAGTCCCCGTGTGAATGCGACTACATAAAATTTCATAGATGTATTATTTATGATGTCATGTGAATATGTAACTTTTTATGGATGCACGCTCATGTAAATCATATATGTAACAATCATAAATAACGAACCATGATATAACAATTCATCACGAGTCCACTTACTTGGCGAACGAGAACATGACTCGTTGACCAAAGATCAGTAAGCTAGCTATTGATGCGTCCCAGCCCCGCTAACTAGACAGAGACGTCCAAGCTTGGAATGGGGAATTATATCCTGTAAAGAGCCAGAAATGAACGATCACAACAAACACATTTCAAAACGTATATATACAGTGCAAAACTGTCCTTGAGTAGAGTTATCAAGTAGCATACTAAAAGACGCAACGGACCAATAGCATTGAAGATATTTCCCAGTGGGGAATACGACATGAAGCTGACAAGAGCGCCTTTGGCGCGAAAACTAGGAAATTCAAATGTTGTAAATAAATTACAAAATTAGATGGTTTCCTAAGTGTATATATATATATAATTCTTCCATTACAGAAACCTCTAGTTCAACAACACTGACTACACAAAGATCTACTTCATCTGAATATAAAGAACTAACCACACAATCTAAAATAACTTTGCCTGTTTCAACAATTCCAGTAGTTCATAATCGAACTGATGATCAATTTACACGAATACACTCTACAACTACTTCAAAACCACAAATTGATTGTAAGTTGATACATCATAGAATAGGATTAGTAATATTATCATGATTACCTAAGAAATTAAATTTCATCAAGTATTCTTTCAATGAAACTTTTTTTTTCATTGTTTATTCTAACTCATTTCAATAAGAATATTTAGAAATAGGGGAAATATGTGATATGGCTAGTAATTATATTTTAGATGTATGTTTCATGTTATTTGTTCTTATTAACTGGATATACTTGTATTCGGTTTGTTAATTACTACAAGATTTGTACCTAGTAGCTTTCTCATCAAAAACATTACATGCTATCCAGTTCACTAATGATGTGTATTCATTCAAACTCATCAATGAACTACTTTGTAGAATTTTCTGTAAAATGATTATATAATCAACAGGGAATTATTTCTTATCTATTAATTGTAAAACTCCGATTTTGTGAAAATTCGGTGAGACTAATTTATGCAAGAGCCAATCAGATCTAATATAGCAGATGATAGATTTTGGCGCGAAATTCATTCATTCATTTGACTAAATAGCGTTTTAACAGTTAAGATGATATCCGTTCCTGATGAAAACCCTAAATCTAACACTTAACCATAACCCTCAAGTATTAATCATAATCTTTAATCCTAACACTGCTGTAGAACCATTATATAGTCCTAGTAGGTAGATTGACATTGACAAGATCATTTCAACATCACTCAAAAGTCCTCCATTGTCATACCCCAAAGCCGCCAATCAGGAACAGTGAATTATCGATCGGACCAATGACTCGTAAAACACTTGCGAGCAGCCTAGAGTCCTAATTGGTCCTGCTTCCCGCCTTGCCCAGCCAGTTTAGTCAAGAACACCAGTCTAAACTTCTGCTTTATGAATCCTTATACTTCAAATATATTCAGGTTATATACCAATCAAACAGACCACAACGAACCATAAGATAGAAAATGACATTTGTACAAGATTTGGCCAAATCTAGCTGTGAATGTGGCAGTGACTAATAATAGACAGGGCATAATTCAACAATCGTAAAACGTATAATAATGGTTCATAGGTCAAAATAAAGTTTATAATGAGAGGAATATGAATATGAATAGTTTAGTTACTTAACAATTATACGATAAAAATATACGTTTAGTATTGGTCCATGAAAGGATCCCAAAGTTACCATTCATTATGTTCATCGTGACCTAACATTCGTAAATTCTAATCTCACTCAAACATGATTGTTTATCTACCATTATATTGAATATAATCAAACTCACCTGTTTATTTCCATTTGATTATAAATATTTCAATTGAATTTACAGATCCAATCCTATGTCAAATCAGTGGATTAATTTATTTTTCAAAATCATTTCAACCAATAGAATGGTTAGATGATTTAATTGATAATTCAAGTGAAATTTATCAGAATTTTTCATTAGATATACAAAATCAAGTATGTTAATTTCTTATAGGATATAATTGATGTATTTTTGTGATATATACAATAGATCTGTAAAAGATTGATGTTAGATTATCATTATTGAATACCTGGAAGCACTGGACAGTTGTTTCGTCGTAGTTTGTAGCACTTTGAAGTACTATAGGGCCCATACTAGGTCGAAACTGCCATCCAGTGCTTCCAGGTTTTCCATGGTGGTCTACCTTCAACTGACTCATGAATTCAACCATAAAATCGCTTTCTTTTATTATTAAACTGGTAATAATTGAAAAAAAGAACATTGATAAAAATCTGGACAAATCATTGAGAGATTTCTCATATATCGAATTTCCATCATTTCATATAGGCAACAAATGAAAAATCCTAATATAAAGGTCTCATTCTTACAATTATGATTTATATATATTGGGTTAGTGGATGGACGAAGTGCCGTTGGTTATATACAAAATATTGAGATCATTTGGATAAATCAATGAGAAGATGAAGTTTACCATAACTATACCTGATGTATATTAGCTCAATACACTATGAACAATTTGATCATATTTATATACAGATTTGCTGAGACACTCAGATTCAAAATAATAGGTTAACTATAGAAATTAGGAGACGAGAGATAACAAAGATAATGATGTTTATCAGCCGATAGATATGCCACAGTAATGATGACACTTATTACATTTTGGGATTAAACTAAAGGGGGTCAGATTATCCTACTATTTAGAGGTGATTGAAGTGGTCATGTTTTTAAATGAAGAATTAAACTAGAGATTAGTAGGCGTTTTAACTCAGAACAACTCATCCTCATCGAAAATTGTGGATCAGGGTTCCAACAAAATCCTAAACATCATGTAAACAAGTGTATTAAATCCCACTTTGTTTATCAGTTAATATGTATGTGCATATATACTTACAGGAGAGAAATAATCGTGATCCCAAATTAACGATGACTGAATTCATATCGAAGTGGTTATAGAAACAAATGAATTCCAATGGTCAAATAAAAACATAGGAGGGACAAGTTTCTTAGATCATTTATAAACAGTTACGATGGTCCATGGATAAATCATATCAGATCAACCATCCTAGTGTTGCATATGTGGTTTATTGATGCCTTGACTAAACGAAATTTCAAATCACCCTTATGTATTCGAAATCAGTTTGTTATGCGAATCACTTTGTTTCTTCTAACCTATGTTGTATAGTTGACCTGTAATTTTGCATCTAAGATGATCTTGACAAGTATATATGTATAACTAGATTATTTGTATTGTGCTGATATACATCAAGTATAGACCTGGTAAACTTCGTCTTCTTATTATATTATCCAAATTTAGGACGGTGAATAATTGTGTCTTAATGGGAAGTATGATCAATAAACTAAACATACGTGTAAGGGATTACAATTCCTAATTTTTGATGATAAGACTTATCCTTAATCAATTTCTATTTTTATGTTTCTATTATGAGGGTATTGTCCTGCTACCGAAGTCTATTCAGACACAGTTTGAATATACATTAAATGAAAGTAATTTCTTTCATAGTTGAATTCATAAGTTGATTAAATCTAGATCACTACTGAAAACTGAATGGCCGTTTCGTCTTGGTATGCGGCTCCTCAGCATTGTGCAACCATGATCTTGCTCACAGGATTCGAACCGTGTCCAGTGCTTAATTGTTTTCCATGGTCATCTAGCTTTAATCGACTCATCACTTCGACTGTTCAATTACTACAATCTTCACAAAGCACATATTCTGATAATTTCTTTCTTTTTTTTTCTTTTGTTTTTTTACGTTATAGATCAACAATGTAATGGAAATATTAGATTTACAATTTGCTTTATCTCTCAAGATTCTTAACATTAAATTCACTAAAATTCCTATAACAATGCAAAGTATGCATGATAATAATAATAATAATAATAGTAGTAATAATAATAATACCACTAATCTTCGAAATTCCACCGTAACCTATAATATTAGTAGTCAGATCTCAGTGACAATTACATTAGAAACGAAATTACTACTACCATTACCAATTCCAGACAATAGGATGACAGAGATTTTGAATGAAGGATGGAAGCACTTAACAATCATATCACAATTCATTTTAATTGATATACAATTTTCAAGTAAGATTTTAATTTATACAATTTTATGAATTACAGTTTAGATTAATGTTTGAATATGATTTTGTTAATGAGTGCAGTTGACTAGTAAGATGGTAGTTGGAGGTAGTCAACAGGAAACCCTGAACTCGGGTTTCGTGCTATTTGGCACTCGTCAGCTCCATAACACATTCGATCCTGTTTCAACAAGCTTCACAGTCAGAGACGTTACGACTGAGATGTTCGGGTCGCGACTGACCTCCTGTACGACTGAGATATATTCACTATTGACTAGTTGCCACATTGCAACTTGGTCGATAGGATTCGATCTGCAATAAGAACGCCTTGAAACATGTGAAACTTTTATCATTACGCCATGATCAATCAATTGTGAATACTTGGCTAGTTTTAGAAAGATTCATATAGTTTGCAGCAAGCATATCACTAAATCTTGGTGGAATGGTACTACAAAAGTCATATTATTTCTTGAAATAGACATCTTGAAGGTTAAACCTAGTTTCCTGAATGTAAATAAAGCTTAGAAAATGCAGTAGACAGTCATTTCAATGTGAATGTTTACATGATGTGCGCACTTCTATTCTCCCAAAGCAAAAATTAATCAGATCAAGTACCATGTTCGTTATAAAGCAGCTAGTCACCTTAGGCATTAAAAATGATTGCATGATATCTAGAACTGATTGAGGCTAAATATGTAAGATGCCAACTCAGATATGAAACAATAACAAATACTCATCGTGATTCTTGATGACATTGTATATAGGCACTGTTGAAAACGAAATTCTGTACTATGACAAGAAGCTTGTTCACCGCTTCCTGATTCCCAGTGTTCGTTTAAGACTTGTCCATGATGTAAACAATGATATTCGTAAATCCAAACAAACTATCTATAGTAACTTAAGTGTAACAGTTGCAGTGAATTTTTTAGTACACTGGTATGTTGGAACCTAGTGATGATTAAACTACGGGTAAATTCCAAGAACTATTAATAGACTAATATGATATATATATATATATATTCCTATTGTATTATTGTTGAGTAACTGGATTTTGTATATTTATATTCCTCTTATTATAAGCTTCATTTTGACGTATGGATTATTATTGCACGACTGATTGTTCTTAAGTTATGTTCAGTTCACTAATTAATGTCTCCAACGTTCACAGCTTCTTGATATTTCCTACTTTATGGTGTGATGCAGTCCGTTTGGCTGGTATATAAACCAAGTATGTTTGAAATAAATTATTTGTATAGTAAAAGCTGTTGGTGTTCTGGATTCAACTGGACGGGCTAGACGGATAAATGACCAATAAGACGCTAGGCTGCTCATACTGTTCGAACGTCATTGGTTTGGCACAGTGCTAAGATTGAATAAGTGGTATTTCGTTTGGTGAGTAAACCAGGTGATAACTAGCTATGCTTAAAGTTTTAACATGATAGATTGTATGTTACTAACCACAATTCAATCTATCCGAGTAACCTAACTGAATAGAATATATTTCCAATACATTTCTTATCTAAAGTAATTCTTTCTTGATAAATTTACTGTGGATTACTTCAAGTAGAAATGAGAAATTGTTCAGTTTATACAGATGAATTCGGTTTTTGTTTTACTAATTAGATTATACAATTCAATTTATATTTTAGGTATATCAACTGATCTTAAAACCACTCAAACATTACCAATAATGACTATTACAGAAAAGATGAAAATCAATCAAACAACTACGTTACCTATGATAAAACCAACAACTGATACTACATTAAACAATTTAGAAGGTAGATTATGACAACAACAAAAAATAATCTATGAATAAGTTTGAGTTTATTCTTTAATAATTTAGTTATAATTTTGTCCATAAATTCTAATAGTTTGATGTATACTACTTATGTTGGCAGAAATAAGTTGTATGTCAAACGAATCAGAAGTGGGATTCCATGCAGAAGATGGTTGAGAAGATTGAATTGAAGGGAATAGAATTACAAACAGAAAAAAATTGTAATAACAGCTGGAATGACGGAACGATGAAGTAGGTAAGAGATAATTGATAGAAGATGAGCAAGTGAGCTAGCTAATACCTTGACATACTAAGATTTCTTGTAAGCTGTAATAATACACAGAATATCTGTGGACGTAATTTAATAGAAAAGACCAATTTATTTAATGCGAAATGAAAGATTTCCACTCATAAGACTAAATATGATGAATGTATCTATCTATAGAAGGCATTATTTAAATTTGGGTTGATTTAATTTGTTTATTTGTTCTCTGATTAAGTGGCATACACTAAGTTACAAAAATTCGGAAAATTTAAAAGCTTGATTTTTCTACTCATTGGGATATTACAAATATATTATTTTTTATTAAAAACAACCTACCTAATGCTTAATTTATTTGAGATTATCGAGTCAAACCTTCGTAATGACACGTACTATGTAGTGGCTGGTTATATGTCGAGCCCACATAGCTTATTCTAATTTCAGGACAAACCAACCTATGCATTCTCAACAAGATACAATTTTAACTTGTTAATTATTCACCATTCAAACCTGACTGTTTTTATATAAGAGTATGGGCATTATTATCATCCACATCACATACACCTGAATTATTTTCATTCATCGTGCTTCGGATCAAGCATTGAATTAATGCTACAAATTCAAAATTCCTAAACGCATTTGATTTATTCACTACATAAATAAACATATAAATGATCAAACAGAAAATGCTGAACTAGAGAATTTGAAGAAGGTAGAGACCAATCTGCTGATTAAAGGACGGATTGATTGAGTGATTGACTGATTGCTGGATTCGGTCTTTTCCTTAAGATTATTGAAGCTGGATGAATTCGGATTGGTGGTTCTGTCACGGGGCATTGGACAGCTGGCTGAAACTCATAATGCTGACCTAGTGAAGTTGACTGAGGAACAGACCCATCTTCTGGAGACGATTTTGAATGCGATCGTGTTGGCATAGTGCAAAACAGCGATACTAACATTAAGTTGTCATTTCTTCTTCGTCTGCTTACACTACTGTTATCCAGTGCGCTTTTGTGTGCATTTATCTGTCATTTAATTACAATTTTGAGCGAACTGTGACGAGTGGTAGAAAACCAGTAAAATGAAAACATTTGTCAAGATTGTACTAACAACCATCAGCTCCAACATCGATTCGGTGATCAAATCCTTCCCCCTAATCGTCTTCATCATGTTCAGGATTATCAACATCGTTACGCAGGTGTTGGTACAGTTTGTTGCACTATTATCATCGTTGTTGACGTAAATGCTAATAACACTCTGATAATAGAGCTAATGACAAGTGTGATGATAATATTACTAATAAAATTACTAACAATGACAATAATACCACTACTAACAAAAATAATAATCATAATATTTACAATAATAATAATGATTATTATAATAATATTAATAATGGTAGTAGTGGTAGTAGTATTCATGACATGAATATTAATATGATTACTTTCATCGATATGAAATGTTTCACTCCTTTCCATTTGTAGAGATCTCCGTGTTCGAGGTGGATATTGTGATCTACATTGAAGAACGGTCAGTGCCCATGAATTGGTCAACTGATCTGTCGAATGAGTCAAGTGTCATGTACAGAAATTTGTCGATGTCGATTTGTGACCTGGTAGGTGTGCATTGGTTATGGTTATTGTGTTCTTAGTGTACTGGTATGCAATAATCAGAGAAGCAGTGTGTGGATTGTTCGAATGACACCAGTGTAGTGGACAAATGGTTCTGTGAAATGACAGGAGTGAAGATCTCCGAGAGAGAGAGAGAGAGGGGCATCGTTTGAATCAAATTGATGAATGTGTAATGTACAGACTGAGCTAGTAAGTAGGCGTGGAAGTGTGTGTGTGTGTGTGTGAGAACGGACGTTTGTGAGAAGGCAATGAGTTAGTGAGTAGGTAAGAAGTTATTAGTAGGTGGTGAGTAAGTAGGTGAGCAGGTAATGAGTTAGTGGTCATGTGAGTGTGAGATTGAAGCGAGTAGTGATGAATTGGTGTATTGAGTGGTGTTCACATTGGTAGTGTGAGCGTCGGTTAGTTGAATGAGTAAGCCAGTGATTGTAAGTGATTGTCCATTTGTGAAGTGGTGGTCATGCACTTGGTCATTATAATGATGATAGCGATGATGAGCACTGGTCGACACCGGTCTAATTGAAAATTGTAGTTGTGATGTTGATATATGAGCAAGCGAACGACGGATCGAGAGACTGACTAATCGACTGATTGTGTATTCTGTGTGATTTTGTTTTGCACGTTGCAGCTATTGAGCGGACTACGTCTGGGTAGTGAAGAGTTCTCTCGAGGTGCTACTTGTGTCCGTGTTGTCTTCATTCGGATCATGATCTGGATTGACGGTGTTGGCCAAGCTCACACAGACGCGGGTGTCAATCGTGTCTCAATCGAAGCTGTTCGAGCAATTGCGAGTGTGCAGTTGCATTTGTCTCGTGGATCACAACCAACTGAGACTGATCTCACGGAGACTCTGGTTCGTGGATGCACACTCCTGAATATCAAGAGTGGACCAAGTTTGAGAAACATCACAGCATATCGTAAGTCGTCAATTGTTGTTGCCCATTTTGCCAATGATATGTTTTCATATGATATGATGTGATATGATGTGATGTGAGATGAGATGAGATGATAGTTAGGCGAGACACTGAGTGTGGCGCCATTGAGATAGGAGAACAGTGACAGTATTGTTTATCAGCCGATTGTTCCCAATGTTGGATGTGCACACCCGTAGTGGAAGAATCCAGCAGAGAGATCAATACACCATCGAAAACGTATACGTAGAGCTAGTGACTGACTTACTGATGGATAGGGAGGTGTGAGACTCTCCAGTTTTCTTTCACAGGTCACATGCATCGTGGTAATGTTGATGATGTCGATTGTTTGTTGTTTACAATGTACGGTGTAGCATTTCTGTGATGTGACCGTGTTGTGTAGCATTGATTTGTGCAGGTTTTGTAAATTGTGAAGAGTGAATCGGTGTGTTAAGGAGAGATGAGTATGTATGGGTGTTTGTTATTGCATGTCAGTTTATCGATTGAAGGATAACCCAGATAAGATTGTTCGAATTCACACCACTTCAATGACATTTGCTACTGCCTGAATTGTGGTTGTGATTTTCGCAATGCGTGCTATGGTCACTGAGTGTCACTATATAAATGTAGTTGTCTTATTTTAAGTTTTGGATTCTGTCCGGAATTTACAGCTGCAATGAAGACTCAGTCTTCTCTATCTCAACTAATCGTGTAGACTATGCAATTCGAAGTGTTGTTGTGCATGAGTTGATGTTCTGTTGAGTCGGACAAACAACATCTTGTTAGTAGAATAATAATAATTATAATAATAATATAATAATAATAATAATAATAATAATTAGATGGTCGAAATATCAACCAACGTAGTCCTGTATGGAAGCTGACAGGAAGATATTTCTGAACGATGAATACAACTACATGTGTTTTCCGTTTAACTCAACAGGTCCACGAACAAGCACTGTGACGTCGACTGACGGTCTCGGACAAACAGAAACAAGTGTGTCGACAGAATCGAGGCAGCCGATCAGGACCACGTCGATGGAGACGATGACTGCAAGATCGACTGTGCTGATGACCAGCCCGTCATCAACTACTACTGGAGTTGCTTTCGGTAGGTTCACATTATGTTGCATAACATCAAGTGCTGTGCATATCTTTTCCTACATACGCTCACACGAGATGTGCTATTGTGCAGTGTCTGTTGGTTGCTTGATTGATTTGTTTATTTATTTAGTTGGTGACAGACCATTGAACTAACTGACCTACTGACTGTCATATGCGCCGAACTCTGAAGGAATGGTAACTTCCAGCACTAGTTTAAGGACTATTATCATGTGTTATGTTTTATTGTATTTTTCCCCTTCGTTCGTTCATTTTTTCAACATGCTTTTACTTTTCTCGCGACTATTATTTCTTTGATGCTTTTTCTGTGCTGATTACATCTGTCTTAAACCATTGCTATTTGTGTCTGTGCAACCTTGAGTCTATTTTTACTGTGTGCAGTAGCTCCTCGTCTAGTGCAGCGCATCTTGTCGAGATCACACGTACCAGCCTCCTCTATTTGAATTATTTCCTTCAGTCATGCGTTGTTTATATGCAAGCATACGAGAAAGCGTCACACGTAGTAGCTGCATTATGAGGAAAAACAACATTGGATATGAATTCATCCGAAACATAACTATGTCACGACTTATTTATTCCAAAATGATTCGCTCCAAATTATCAGTAATTCCAAAGTGGAATAATGAGTCACAAGAAAAGTCCACGCCGAAAGTGATTGCTAAGGAATCCGACAAAGATGTCATGAGTTCGATATAAACTTGAAGGATGTATAAAAAACCTATTCGCATGAGATGTGTGTGTTGTGTTGACTGACTGTCGTACTGATTGACACATCGACCGATTGACTGTTTGATCAACGTGTTGATTGATCGACGGATTGATTGAGTGATTGACTGATTGCTGGATTCGGTCTTTTCCTTAAGATTATTGAAGCTGGATGAATTCGGATTGGTGGTTCTGTCACGGGGCATTGGACAGCTGGCTGAAACTCATAATGCTGACCTAGTGAAGTTGACTGAGGAACAGACCCATCTTCTGGAGACGATTTTGAATGCGATCGTGTTGGCATAGTGCAAAACAGCGATACTAACATTAAGTTGTCATTTCTTCTTCGTCTCCTTACACTGCTGTTATCCAGTGCGCTTTTGT